CCCACCCTCCTTACCTGCATATTTTCGCATACTTCTCCGTCTAATTCATCAGCGGCGGCGATGCTGTCGGCGTTTTAATCCCCGTCTGTCTGGCCGAATCCGTGCCTGACTAACGCTTTACCCCTCATCATTGTCGTAGTTGGCTCATTCCTTTTTTCAGATTTTCCTACGAAATTGGAAAATCGGCCTGTCACCCTGTCTGTTTGAGTAAAAGTCTAAAACCCTAATCCCCCTGACGTTGAACAGAAACTCCGGACACCGGATACTGCTGACACAGCAAGTGGCCATTGCGGTCTGCCTCAGTTAGCTGAAATAGGTTAAAATTTCCGCGATAAAGTATAAACCAACGTTTCACAGGAACAACAGCAAATTTCCCTGGGCTCCCATCTGTACCCCAGACATGTTTTTTCGCTGTCACTTTAGTTTGTTTTTTTTGAAACTACACCACAGTGCTAATGCACTATGTACGCGAATTTTAAGTAGCTCGAAGAATAATGCTTGCCACCCAAACACGAGCATTGAATTTGGATAGAATCCCACCAGATCTAAAGAAGTTCAGGATCTGAGAAAAGTGTTTCGAGCCGTAGAATGCCTTTCATGTGTCTGGCTGTTCGAACGTTTTCTTCCCTGTAACTTACCCAAAATGCTCTCTTTGTGGATTGCATGAGCACTCCCGTACTTTTACACGAGTCCGACGTATTTACGCCGAAACATTCAAGTTTGATTCTTATCTTTTGGTTGATTCGCTAGGCTTGTAACAACAGGAAGGAACTCGTTAGATAGGCATTCATATAATTGCTGGCAGCCCTGCCACTTAGTGGGGGAACATACACCTTCCCATATTCGCATATTGTATTACAAAGTTTTTTTTTGCTATCAGTTTTGCAGAGTCCCTGACGAGGTACCCCAAGGAAAAGTTACCATCGATTCTTTTGTCGATTCAATCCCGAAAACACAAACTCCAGAGGTTGTTACGTGATTTTGAACAACAGATATGGCTTCAGAAGCGTAAGTTCTTTTCTCTTAAAGTACTACCTAAGTTAAAATTTGTATGGATTTGCTCCGCGCTCTGACTCCTGACCATTTCCCTTGGAACCAACTCTCTTTACCAGTAGTACACACCTTGTTGTCGTAAGTTCTTGCCCGACCTTCTGTAAAAACTATAATAGACCTTGGTTAGTCAGGTCAACCGCCTATTCCCCCACACAGACCGTATGTGTTACCGCGAATTCCCTCCGCTGTTTAGACCGACTTCCTCGGCTTAATGCCCTTCTAGTTGTCCCATCTTACGGCGTACGATGGAATCGGCGCGCTCTGCAACCCTGGTCTAGTAGTGCAGGCGAATAGTGTGCGAGCTCGACTACTCAACCGAAGACGGACTCTTTGTATTAGATACTGGAATGTGCGAATGTTTCAGGACTGTAGTACCCAGATTATGATCTCGCGGATGTCTGCTGCCTGTCCTGAGTTCGAAT